TCGTTTTTTTTTTCTAGTTTTTGGAAGTATTTAGAGGTTGGAAGACCATAAACATGCGTGTATACGTGAAACAACGCACAATGAAATTTCACGGATTTCAATGGTATGGATAAGAAAGGCACAGCGGTAAATTAGTGGATAAAGTTTTTGTATGATTTTTGGTTGATCATAGAAAAAAGCTTGAATTTGATGAAAGACTTCAATGAGTTTCATCTCGTAATCGTCTTTAGTATTATATGTATAAAGCCACAGATCTTTTCTTTATTTTTACTGTTAACCGTAAATTGCTATGCATAAGAGCACGGTCGCTGTTGACGTTCATTTTAACATTAAATTTTTGATAGAATTTTCTGGCTGATTTAACTTTGACTGATTTAGTTGTTCGAACAATAGATTAGCACTAATTGTCTTGACAAAGTTAAGATTTTTTTTTGTTTGATGGCTCTTCATCGAAGCCTTCGGCTTTTGTAAACAAATCTGCTAAGGAAAATTAATCATGAAAGCATCAAAATAAGGTGCAGTGTACGTTTCAAAAATAATTGGTTGGAAGTTAACAGTATGTCTGTCTTCAGCATAAACACCCCGCTGTCCCTTCATAATGTTTTATTTTTCCAACAGCAGTAACAGCAGAGAAAACCTTCTTCAAGTGTGCACCAAAACAGGATAAAAAATCATAAATTAACTAATAAAAAGTTTCATAATTGACCAGATTAGAGAAAAATTATGTTAGCCTATAAAAACTTAATCATCGCAGAACGTCACTGAACACTGGAAAATTTCCCTAAAACAGTGCAGTTGAAAATGAAGCTAAAAAACTGTAGAATCGCGAAAAAATTTTTGCACGATAAAGTGTTGGTATAAAAAATAACCTTTAAAGCAAAAATGTAACAAAAAGTACTTTTAATAACTTCTGCAAATACAATTTAATCATACTTTAGAATAACAATTGGATATTCAAGAAAAAAATGTAATCTTTTGAATGCCTCACAAACTCTAAACAAAGTTTAAAATTGATGAAAAGTGAATGGGAACTGTTTTGATTATTTCCAAGAGACATTATTGCACATGTCATATGAGGGCGCCGATTTTGACACAACGTTGTTTTTGATGGAGAAAGAAGCTCAAACGAGTACTTCATTATGTCACTGATCCGGGAAGAAGAAGGAAATAAAAAATGAAGAAACGGACAAATTTGCAACTAATATTTTCTGCTCAGAAACTTCACGGCACAGAAGTGGCTCAAGAATATTCTGGTGGAGAATCTAAAAGTAGAGTATAAGGCCTCCTGTCAGTATTTGCTATCTCATAATACTTTTCACAATTCCTCCAACCATATTTAGAGAAATCCCATTTCTCCTGACAGTAATAACAGCATAAGCATCGTTACTTATAAAGACCACTCATCATACTAAATTGTTCCATTGATGTGCAATCAGATCATTGAAGGCGACTGAAAGTGCGGAATGCCGTTAGCAGGAATACAAAGAAATAAAACTTGTAAAAAAGGAATTGAGTAGAAAAACAAAATGGTTGTTGTTTTCTGATAGAATTTTACATTATTTCATTAAAATAATTAGAAGAAAGTGGAAAAAGCTTTCACCTCCGAACAGCAGTTTCAGCCGTTTGTTAGAATTACTCTAACGTTTGATTTTTTTTTTTTTCAAAAAATTAAAATGTTTCAAAAACTACAAAGCAGTCAGTTGGACAACGTTCTCTTTCACCCGAAATAAAAACACTACTTATTTCTGAAAATTCTTCTAAAAAAAATCTGAAACCAAAAGTACATTTTACAAATAACTTCGCTTGTCAAAAAAAAAAAAAATCAGGCCTTGTCAAAGCCGTTATTTCATTACTCTAAAATTAGCAAATTAACAAATTAAGTTATAATTCACGACAAAATCATTCATAAACTTTGTTTCCAAAAACAGCCGCCTTAGTGAAAAACTTTGTTTACTTGTCTTAAAAGTTACGCCGTAACTGTTAATGGTATCGCAGGAGATGTCATAAAGTTAGGGGACTATTCGTACACTAAGATGTATATGAATAACATTCAACAGACTATGAAGCAAAAGTGAGCCATCCATTGAATAGTGAAACAGAAAAAGATTTTTGCAAATGATTGTTCAGATCTTTTCCAGTGCTATCACTAGCTTCACTACTAACTACTAAGGTGACAGCAGCGTATAAACCTCTTACTGCCATCTTAAAAACTCCATTTGTAGCTATAAAAAAAGCACAAAAAACTCCAATTCTCTTATACAATAAACAGTTACAACTGCAACTTATTGTTACATCCTACCCTCTTCATGGGGAATAAAAGAGGTAATGAATACTCAAACATGCACTGCACTTTCAAGAAACGATGTTTTGCACTAAACTCAGTGCAGCCTCAACCAGGTTTGTTAGAAACAATTTCAGATCTTTATTAATTTCAAAGAACTATCTTCAGTGAAAATACTCTACATGGAACTTGCCAAAAACCGATATTGCATTTGCTTAACAAAAACTTGACTCTCCGAGCAGCATACCCCTAACAAGCATTTTTATGTGTTCTCTTCTCCACTATTATAGTTGCGCTGCAACTCTGATACAATAGTCTTATTAGGTTTTTATAAAAAAAAGAACTTTTGCAACACTATGAAAATTCCAAAATACTATTCAGTTCAAAGCTTTATCATCATCTGAAGACTGTTCATGGATATTAATATATATTGAAGATGCCTTTATCAATTCACTAAAATTACACATACAGCCGAAATCAACATTTGATCTTCAATTATGAATTAGATATTTACTAGTTCCTAATTTCCTTATAAATATTATCTTAAGCATATAAAAAATTCAGTGCTCAGCAGCAAAAGAATATCAGTATTACCATGAGCAAATCGCTAGCAACTTTCTTCCTGACTAATTCCTTGTGAGATAGCCCTTAATAATTAGCATAATAAAAGACCGACTTAACACTAGAAGACAATAATGAGATCGAATTTGGCCAAATTTGGTATTTTAAATGCTTCGCTCAACGCTTATTCACCAGTAATACAGCAGTTGAAGGCAATTTTTAAAACGTAATGCTTCGTAATAATGCACCAGTACCGACAGATCAATACACAAATTTCTCTTCTTTGCAAATGCTGTGCAAAGTTTAGGCCCCTGGCGGAAGAGGAATCCACAGTACAGATCTTATCCAAAAGCTGCTTTACCAGTGGGCTACTGTGAAGTTCATTTAATGCTTCATTTCGTCTTCTCATCTGATTAAAACATTTGGAACTAAAAACCAGCAAAAAGTCAAACTTCTTAGTGAAAAAGAAAGGAATGGCTTCAAAAAAATTAGGATAAGAAATAGGTTGCAAATCACAAATATTATTAGACCAGTTTGAGTCTTAAAAATATAACCAAAAATACTGTTCAAAAAATGCTAATCATTCAACTTTCAAACATCAGAGAGACCCGAAAAATTATCAGTTTCTTTCAGAAGTGTCATTATGCGTTCTTCACAGAGTACAGCACAGCTTGAAAATCTTTTGAAATAGATAATTATAGCAGATCTCTTGCAGCTTCCTCCTGTTAAAATAGAACAGAGGCAGAATAACTGACTGCTTTTTGATCCAACAGGAACCCTTACACAGTGTACCAAAAATACAACTGCATTCGAGTTCTCAAAATTCATTTCATTCTTTAATCACACGATGAACTCCATAACGGCACTACAAAACTAAAAGAACCATTTCTGTTGTAAGTATAAAAGTTCACGCAAAACTAGTGGTACTGAACTTGAACTCCAAATATCGCGCAAAAAAATTGTCCGACGACTTAAGTGTATGCCTTTCCGCCAACGACGAGGTCTCTCCATAACAAAAAATAGCGGCTTTGGTTTACCTACCACAGATGTGTTCCAGCGGGCTCCTCGTCTAAGACGACTTAACCATCATTTCTTCTGAACGTGAAATAGTTGAAATGATACTGGATGAACACATTTCGATGAACATACTTCTTATTATTTTTAGTCGTCGCAGCCGGATTCCATAATTATTTGTTGACCGTAATGACTTCATATTTTTTTAGTTTTATAAAATAGTCGAAACTCTATCGTCTGACATACCATTACTCTTTGACTGTCCACTTTCTGCCATAAAAATGCAGTTTAATAGAGTATTCAAAATGCTGACAAAAACTACAGTTTCAAAACCATTAAAGTGTTGTTTATCAGTGAACAACTGAATTGAGAAAAAAACAAGTGAAGTTTCCACAAAGTTTCTTAAATGAATTCTACGAAAGAAATCTGCGAAAATAAGCAGTGGCGTTAACTTTCTGTCTAATAAAACGAGTATGAAGTTTCAAGATTTTCTTGAAGTTGTGCAAAGAAAAGAACTGCGCGTTTTCAAATATCAACCCCTAAAATACGCTTTCCAATGTGAAACAATAACTCCACTGACCGAATTGCACGGCGGAGAGGAAGAAAATGAAATTGATTGGTTGAAGAATACCGGTGAATGGTTGAAGTTTGTTGACAGCAATCTTTCAGTCAATCCAGGAGAAGAATTAAAATTTCTTTCTCAACTAGATGCAAAAAACATTCAACTTGTGCCTCCTCAAAGAAATATAAAAGACGTTTTTCACTTAATTCGCCTAGCATGACTGTAGAAAATAATTTTATCTAACAAACCGATAGCACACAGGTGCTGAATGATTTTGTCCTGTGCACAGGTTTTTTATCATATGATAAAAATAACAAACTGCTTTGTTGCTTCTCAACCCTCCAAAAAAGTTGTCTACAAATGCTTGGAAAAATTAATGCAGTATTTAACAAAAATTACATCACTGGCAACCCCAATAATGACTCATATCCAGTGAGCAAAACCACTGCAAATGTAGTCATTTATAGCTGTTTGCCTATAAATTTTAATGCACACAAGTCGAATTTTTATGGTTATTAGATACAAAAGTAAGCCTTTGTCTTTAACATCAACAACCAAATTCTTTTCGCAGCCAAAAACTAGTTGGTCAATAGCCGATCGTAGTGAATTTTTCCAATTACAGTGGTCATCATGTAATTTTAATATTATTTCCTTACTAAATGTGCAATTGGATAGTATAGAAATAAACCACTGCATTATTTTTTTTAAACGAACAGTAAAAGAATTGACGGCAAAACGGCTTCGGTCGACCAGTTCATGCCGATAAAACAGTGATGAAGATAACTCCAGAATCTGATGGCACTTAACACAGCAGTCAGTGCCATTGCAAACTGGAATCATTTTCGTTGATGGTTTGAACGACGAAACATCCGTGCACATCTTTGTTGGCACGGAGCCAGCATTGTTCCGTATTTCACTTTCAATGCCGATGTGCACTTCGCTCTGTTGTCGCTAGTGCTGGTGCTGGTGTTGCTGGTGCTACTGCTGAAACCACTGTCAGATTGACTTGTAAGTTCTGCGTTAGTGTGTCGCCCTTTGGCGACGTTCTTTGAGTGGTGTGGCCCACATCGTTCTGACTGTGTAGACTACAATATCTTTTTGCTGTATATTCGACTAGATTTCTTGCAGGAGATCAGTGATGACTCGTAAGTTATTTTTTAATCTCTTTTGTTACTATAATTGCCATTATTATTATTATTAGGTTTTCTTATTTCCTGCTTTTTTCTAGTAGTTTCAACATATAATTGCACAATTTTTTTGTGGATTATGCAAATAAATACAGTTCATATTGTTGTCAGTCTGCTTTTTGTTAGTGATCCGTGCCTGACTAACTTACGATTTAAACTTTACCTAATCCATATTGCATGTGTATCAAACATATATTCTTTTCTTTTTCGGTTTTTTTGATGGTTTTATTTTACAATGGGTTTGTACTTTTTTTTTTTT